AAAGACAGAAAATGAAATATTAAGGACAAGGAGGCTGGCAAGTTTTTTCAATTCATTCAATATAAGTAAAAACAAAAAGGACTACAGCTTCATGGAGGTGGGCATTTTTTTCATTTCATTCATTTTTCAATGATTTTATGTAGAAACGTGTGTCAATATAAGTAAAAAAAGAGAAACATGTGTAAATATAAGTAAAAAAAGAACTATAACCTATTTTTCTTTGAGCCTTTCATCCAATCCTGGGTGCATATTAAGATTTCAACTGATTCATCACTGAGGCGCATGCGGTAATCGTCTAGAATGCGACCTCCAGTAGAAAAAGCAGACTCAGATGCGACTGACGTCATTGGAATCATGAGAATGACCCTGGCAAACTCAGACAAAGAAGGGAATCGAGTTGCATTTGATTCCCACCAAGCTAGAACGTTGAAGTGATCTTCCGAGGCGTTTACGTTTCGTTCTTCAAGATATAGATCCAACTCTGCCGCAGGAGCATTGAATTGAGAACCGCCCTGGGTGCCGGCCATGTACTCCTGGAATCCAGAGATATCGGCATCAATCTTCCTCTTGTTTGTGGTGGTTGATTGAGACACAGTTGCTGGGCTGGGATCGGGTGACTGAGGGATAAACTGATTCCAGAGGGATAAGAAAGATGATTGAACTTTTGCAATAAAGGTATCGGCTCGGGCCACTGGGAGATTTTCCAGCTTCTCAAGGCTGTAGCGGAGATAGCGTATCTTGCATCGAGGGTCTAGAATAATTCCTATGGCCGTAAGTTCCTTTGCCGATTCCCAGTATTTGTCAAACTTTGCCTTCATCGGGGAAATCATATTGAATATGTGAGGATGTTCTTTTGAGTTGTTGGTTTGGGTGAGCCGCATCTCGATAGCTGTCATTGCTCGGTAGGCTTGGTTGATTGTTGGATACTTGGTCCCACTTAGCAAAACAGTGGCTACAAGGATTGAGTTATAGAATCAGTACAAATTTATAGGTGCAAGAGAAAAGAAAAAGAAGTTTATGCTCACCTTGATAAAATGGTTCAAGGAATTCTTGGATAACTGCAAGCTCCTCCCATTCAAGCTCGCTTGGGCAAGATTCAAATTTGTCATCTTCAATGGCTAGCTGTTGGAAGGCAAGCTTGCATGGCGTGGAGGACTGGATCATGAGGAACGTCGAGTTCCATCGGGTCGGGACATCTTTAGAGGGGTGTTGGCTTTCTGGGTCAAGGTCTACCACTTCGCGAGCTTTATCAAATGCATCCAAACGGGATTTCGAGCCGTGTATATAGAGAACACTTGTGCGGAGTCGCTCAATAGCAGTACAAACAGTCTTGAGCCCATCCTTGACGACAAGGTTGATAATGTGGGCCAAGCAACGGACATGAAAGAATTCGGATGTTGATGGAGTCGAGGCGGAAGAGTTGTGATCATTGATAAATCGTTGCAGTCGAGCCATGGCCACATTGTTGGAACTTGCATTGTCAAGCGTTACGAATCCAATCTTGTTCACAGCTTTCCATTCAAGCAAGATCTGGCTGAGTCGGTCGGCAATCGCTTGTCCAGTGTGTGGAGGTGGGAGGGTTCGGAAGCTGATTATCGTTTTGATCAGTTCCCACTTAGGGTTAATGTAGTGGGCTGTCACTACCATATAGCCGGTCATATCGGACGCGGACCACAAATCAGTAGTCAGCGATATAGCGGTTGCTTTTGCTACCTTGGTGGATTCTATTGCTTTCATGCTTTCGAACACCTTGACACAATCGTTGCGGACACTCTTGCGTCCAGGTATCTTGAAGTTCGGCTGAGCTGCTTCCATGAAATCGGTGAATCCGTCGCCATCTGCAAACGCAAAAGGAAGTTCGTCTCGAATTATCATCATGGCCAATTTTTCGCGAATGAGGTCTTGAGAGAACGTCCAGGAGCGGTTAGGCATCATCGTGGAGGATCCGGGTAAACTGACAATGCCTTGTTGAGGCTCGACTGCCCCCCCCGTGTGCCTCGATGCACTTTTGCGAATGACGGCGGAGGTGGTTCGTCCCAGATGATGGAGCTGCAGAAAGTCTAGTGTTGCAGTAATTGCACTGCGCCTTGGGTTGCCCATCTATTTAATTACCAGAATTAAAATCAAAACAGTGTCAGTTGGCGCAATTCAATTCTTGATATTCAGAAGCATCAAACAATAACATCCAAGAAAAAAAATTACCTTCCTCGAGGCTCAGGAAGTGCTCCCACACCTTGCTTGTACGTTTGCGCCTCTTTGCTTGGCTGTCTTCTTGTGATTCACTCACACTATCCACAGCGGGGCCAGCAGGGGTCTGAGGTGTCCGTCTAGTACCCGTCTTTTCCGGGTGGAGTTGTGTGGGGGTCTCCTGGATATCAGATGCCCCATCTGACTCACTCTCACTTTCCCTTGGTGATGGACTGCGGCGTCTGTGACTCTTCGTGTTGGGTATGACCATTTTGTTCGGGTTGACTCACTGTGGATGAATGCAAATGGGGGTGGGGACAGATTACAGTTGAAATTACAATTTATTGGGGGGGGGGGGGTGCTGTTGACAATGGCAATTAATTGGGGTTGGGTTGGGACCCAGGGAGTGCCTTGAAATTTGAGGTGGGGAGATACAAACTGAATCAGCTCATGTTGGACAGAAGAATATTTATCATAACAGAAGGATGAGAATATGAGAATAATAATTTGTACAGCATGCACTTACAGGTTTCTGCTGTAGATATGTTATAACACAAGAACCCAGATGACAATTGGCTTGTGCTTTGTGAATGTGTAGCTGGGTGGGAAGATACAATCTGGATCAGCCTATGTTGGACACAAGAAGAGAAGAATATAACATTGAATTTTTAGAATATGAAAGTGAGCACTTACAGGTGCTTGCTCTTTGGTAAGCCAGCGGTGCTATGCTGCACAGTGCAGGTACACTTGCAAACAAGTTGCTGAGCTTGGGGAGTGAGGATAGAGAAGCGCAGAGGAGATGAAGCAAGGTCGGATGGGAACTTTGTTTGGGTGGATGTTGATTGTTTGAGGATTGGAGGCCCGATGCAGAGAGGCCAAGTGATCGAGGCACTACAATTAGACGAGTATGGATGACCAGATAGAGAGATCGAGATGAAACGAGCTGATCGATTCCGACTCCAAACCTTGGAGGGAGGAAGGTGATATGATTAGTTAATTGTTGGGGTCGGGGATGGATGAGATTATGAGATACACTTACAGCAATACACAAGCACGAGATGATCCTGACAAAGTC